CAAAAAGGCGAGAGCCGCGAGGATACGTGTCACCTTAGTGTACAATCACATTCACTGGAACTGCTACGTCATCATTTGAACCACTGCGCACTACAGTTTGCAGTCGCAACGAGACTGGACCTTAACGTGGTGCGACGGTTTGCGTACCTGACTGACCTATTGAGCTATATTGGGTGGTGCTTCCGTGCACCTTGAGAGCTACTCCTACCGGGTTGGTCAATGGTGAGAGGTCAGACAAACGCAGTCTCCTGGTCTTCCAGGTTGGGGGTTTGAAATGGGATGGCGTCCATTTCTGTAAAACTAAATCATTGCTACCTCCCAGCTGCCTTGCAGACAGGCTTTTGAGTCAAAGGCTTTGGATGAGTACCCTAATCGTCCTCCTGTCTAGGTCTGGGCGCCCTGGCAGTATCTCAACCCACATACAACCATCACATTTTCTTCAAACATAAACTTCATCCTGCATCGGCCTTCGCGCAGATTATAAAGGGTCGCCTTATCTGCTGCATACAGCAGGGCGGATAAGCGCAAACATGCTGCTGCTGGCGCCTCCCTTCTTTCCTTTCCACCTTTTTCTCTTACTCCCATCCCGACCTCCATTACTAACCTGCCTACTATAATTCCCAGATTAATTGACGGCAACTAAGTGCCACTGGAGTAGAACCATCTGCAGCCACCATCCCAAACCACTTATCGGACGCTGATCGGCAAAACTCCCTTGTAAGGCCACGCTATCCCGTTTCCACGGCGACATTCAACGTTCGCACCCTAAGGCTAACAGGTCAATAGGCTGCACTGGCACGCACCTTGGACACACTGGGTATTGATGTGTGTTGTGTCCGAAACCAGGATCAATGACCCTAAGGGGTTATCAAATTAACTGTACACGGCTTACCTTCTCGTTATTGGTTGCACGCATCCGGAGACGCCTATGCAGCACTCACGGGTCAAGCTGGTGTAGGTATCATTCTAAGCTCCAAGGCTGAACCACCGTTGGTTGATTGGATTCCGGTGAACAGCCGTTTATGTGCAGCCCGTTTGACGACCTCAACTAAGGTTGATTCCCGAAGTAGTACAAAACGCTCTTTGTTCGTGATTTCCGCTTATGCTCCCACCGACTGCAGTTCAGATGTTCTCAAGGACACATGCTATCACGAACTGAATGCGTTAATACGCAGTGCTACTAGTTCAGCTATTATGGTACTTGCATGGGATATGAACGCATAAATAGGGCGTCTGAGCTCTTCAGAAGCTCAGCTGGGTGGTAATTAAGGGCTTAACTACCAACGGAATGACAACGCTGAGCGTCTGCTGCAAATGTGTGTCGAGCACCAGTTGTTTCTTAGTAGCTTTGCTTTTAGACACAGTAGGCGCCGAAGTGCCACTTGGCATCCTCCTGTAGCTGGCCAGCGATGGACCCAAATTGACCACATAGCCATAAGTTACAGGTGGCGTGGTTCCATCCTGGATCGCTGCTCATACTAGAATACCTGTGTCGACTCTGATCATACATTGGTATGCTGTCGTTTCTCCATGAACTTTACCGGGAGGCGCACCAAGCGTCCCCTACCATTGGCAAGGGAGAAATTGTCTCAGTCCTCGGTCAGGCAAGCCTATCAAGAAGCACTGCATACCGAACTTTCGCTGTCTTGTCCTACTGACACTGAGCTTCAGTGGAATAGGATCTCGGCCGCCATGCACGACGCAGGAGCATCTGCTTGTGGCACTATCCATCGTCACCGCACCATTCACTGGATATCCGAGAGGTCGGTGAACCTGTTGGAATCTAGGAGACAATTCCTGGCTGGCTCTGAACGCAATGTGACCAGACGGGCTATTAGGCGTGAACTAAAGCGGAGCCTACGTGCTGACAAGGAAGCCTAGTGGAAAAGTAGAGCTCAGGAAATGGAGGAGGCAGGAGCAGTAGGCAATTACCGCAAGCTCTTCCAGTTAATGCGCACCACTGGTCCCTGGAAACCAGGCGTCAGTGAGACAATCAGAGACAGCGCGTGTGCGCTGATACACAATAAGGAGCACCGTATGGCTCGTTCATCTGGCCCTCTGCATGAATTGCTTGCTAATCGTACCCAGTTCAAGCAGGTATGTTGCAGAAAGTCTTCTCTACTCCCAGCCAATCGTGGTTTTTTAGGGAACCATCTTATCCCCATTTCTCTACTTTGCATATGTCGAAAATATCTATTGTCCATCAAAAGTACTAGGGTGTATATATGCCAATGATGTCATTCTGGGTTGTATAGCCCCAATCATTGTGGACTTTTGGAAAATGCACCGAGGGTTTGACTTGGCGCAGCCCCCCGTCCCTATCTCAAGACTTCCAAGAGCTGTGACATAAAGTTCTCATTGCCGCATCCCACGAGACTCCATTCTCCTGTGCATACCTCCCCTCCCATGACTGCGGTTGTCCAAAGCAAACCTAGCACATCTACCGTAAAACGTCTCAGTGTTTCTCTAGCTCACTATTTATCTTGCTCTGCACATGTTTTTGAAACATACAATGGTCATAAGGATCTTATTTTACGCCCTAGGCTCAAAATTCTTTCCGTTCTCCTTACTTTGATGCCAAAGTTCAAAACCACATATATCCTCCCACCATCGGTCATACTTTTCCTCTGTTATTCTCCCCGGAATGCTTCAAATCTTAGGTTCTTCTTGTCGGTTCTCTAAAATTTATTTCTCGCTGCTCTGGATTAAGAAAAGGACAGCTCGTTGATTTCATGGTTAACATGTTTCCTAGGCACATACCAACTTTTCGTACAGGTTTTAACTGTCTACTATCACCCTTTGCATGCTATAAGAACCAGCAGGATATCTATTACTTCCACGCGGACAAAATTTAGTTTTCCTAATCTCATACTTAGTCTTATCGAAACTCCATCCTGCCCTATGTTTCCTGCTTACTTACCGATCCACCGGGAATGAAACAATACTTGCGGCAACGTATACTTGATTGAAGTTACAAAATTTCAGTTATCGATGTCAATTGTTATTTTCTCACCAATGCTTCGTTGTAGTAGTTTCCGCAGCATTGCAGATATAATGCAGAAAATGCACCCATATGGGTTGATAAAGCTTGTTTGGACTTGGCTTGATGTTGCGCTGGAGCGTTTCTCATTGCATCAACGCATATTAGGAGGTCTGTCAGATTGGTTTTCATACAAATGCTTTATTGTTAACGTTTATACATGCGATAATTTGATATCTTTTTGTTCGTGGCGACAAGCTACGGTCTCGCCTAGACATTTCGAAACCCTCCATGTAATTAAAAGTATGTGGTGCACTAATAATGAGAAGTATGTATAAAAACACGCGCACAAGGAACCAAGAGAAATCATGGATCGCCGAGAACGAAGGACGGTTAGGGAGCACAAATGAACCACCACCGATAATATTTTGAATGGGGGGGCACAGCGGAACGGATAGTTATAGACATAACACGAAAGATCTGCGCAAATGGACTCCAGCTTCCATGTTCGAGATATCATAGCATCACGAAATGGGTGCTATAATGTATAGCTTGTCCGTACCGCTCTGCATACTCAACTAACTCCATAACAAATCAACCACCATCAAGCATCTCGGCAACGTTTTATTAAAAAACCGTTGCTCTAAGCAAAATTTTGAGAGATTCCACAGTCACAAAAGATTATACTAATGCTTTCCTTACGCCGTCTTTTATCATCTGAGTTTGTGAGTTCATAAATTAACCCTCTTTGGCTGAATACCATGGGGTGTTTTAAAATAACTGTACCTCGTCGAGGTGGTCAATAAAGCACATTTCTAGATGCAGCGGTCTGTCTAGTTGAATTTCCATCACTGCTTGACATCTTGATGCATGCAATAATTTGCTTTCATCTGTTTTAACGATCGATAGCATCCAATGCATATTGACATTTCAAAAACGCTCTCTTTTTCTTCTATGCCTTCAAAATTCAGGGCCTTATTTGTCTGCTTTTCAGCCGATCGGCAGGGGGCCGAAATATTGCACACCTGCCTTGCAGTCCTTAGGTCACTGATTCGAATCCGCGTAGGGGCGAATGTTCTCGCGGTATACTTAGCCCACGCTTGACCGGCCGTTGTCGCGTAGCAGCGAAGTGTCGGAACAATGTACCGGGCGTACTGCTGATGACTTTCTTGCTTTTATTATCTTCAGCTACGTTAGTTAATTCAAAGAAATTCATAAATATGCTGCTAAAGCAGTTGTCGAATTGACAGCTGCGTTTTTTAGTTTTATTTTCGTGTTTGTAATTTTTACTAATTTCATATTCTTCCACATACATACGATTACTATAAATGCTAAAAATAAACCCATTCGGTTTTTTAAAGCTGGGGTTCTTAAAGGTTTTGACGTTGTTACCCCCAACGCACTTTCATTCTAAGCAATAACCTTCAGAATGATTGGCTTTACTAACTGATGAAATATTAACCATAAATTTTTGAAAATCACCGTGAGAAAACAAATAGCGGCAGATTCATGCGTGTCGTATGGTCACTTTAGTGCATTTTTGTTTCAGGTTAAGAATAATGATGTTCTTTTGATCGTGCAAATAAGCAAAAAACCTATTTTTGAGCAAAAGTAAACCAAAATGTGATAAACTCGATGTGATGTTTGTTATTGATAGTATTGTGGCGATGCTAGCTAGTGAACGGCTATCACATTCTCCCTAAATATCTCCTGGACTCACAATACATAATGCTCGTTTTAAATCCACGGAAAATTATTTTAGCAAGATATGCCAGACAATGAGATATTAAAACGAATTGACTAGATTTGTGTACTCTAAGAAGTAAAATGAAGACTGTACATTATAACTGATTACTACGATCCAGTCTGTAGATAATTCGTCAATTAAGAAGACGTGTAAACCGGTAAATGAGGAGATATAGTTTTTTTAATTCTTAAAAGGCTAAAAGCATGCACCCAAATTTACCCGTAAATAAAGTGGCAAATATATTCGTTTCCTTATCATCCAGAAAGATCTTACTTTTCTCAACAGGTTCCGTATTTCTTGGAGGCCAAACTTTCGTATTGTGAACCAGAGTTTCAAAGCACGGTTATTTCTATCTAGGTTGATACTCCAATTCTATAGAAAAAATCAGTTGATCACGACAAAAAAGATTTGAAATAAATACAATTGTAAGTGCTTGATAGTTCCGTGTGGGGACAGGAGCGAGCATTACAGCTTAAAATGTTAGCTTAGCAGCATAAATGAAAGCAATTCCGATTTGAATTTTCGCACCGAGAGAAAAGCATGAACACCTGCTCAGGTTTCCCTACCACAGAGAGGGGTAATAATCACACAGTGTGACTCGTATTAACTCGTTTTCCGAATTAGACAAACCACATTGTGTCGTGCAAATTGGATAAGGTATCGTCATGTCGTTTTTCGCAAAGCTTTTATCTACGGGTAAAATGACGTCAGCTGGAATTTCATTCAGTGTACAGGACATTAGATGGAAGGAAACATTTACTCGGCAACCAAATCGCATTGCGTGCGTGGTAACTTCAAGCCGGTGCATTATAGGTTACCATTGTGGTTGAGCGGCAAAAGATTGCGACTGGCATTATTAAGATTCGCAGCTATCTGGGATAACATGATCAGGTCTCTTCGTGCAAGTTAGTGTTCACTGATATACAGGTCATTGGCTTGAATTCGCAGTTAGCAAGAAAGGTGAAACAATCCACTTATAATTTTGGTTGCTCTAATTTATGGAGTTCCGGAGCATTAACCTCGAATTTATACCAGTTGTCACGCTAGAATGGCATTTTCTACATGGAACTCCACGTACGTAATCAGAATTTTTGAAGACAGATGACCAAAGGTTCCCAAATGCCCTCCGAAGAAGCTAAGATCTAAGGCCTCGGTATCGTCTCCTTGTATAGCTCACTGCAACTGCTGTTCTCCAAGCCGATATTTAGAGGTTGACCATTGGCATACGCTCGAAGCCTTGTACTTTGCCATGTAAAACCAGAGCTGAATTTCAAATGCCTACTTATTGACCTAATCGTGTTATCTAGGCAGTGCATTGTGCTCGTCAATTGTCCGACGTTTATGAGCGCACCAACAAGATGGTCGATGGATTTAAGAGATCAACGTGATACTTGTGCCTATCTTTGGGATACACTTAACTGGGTCAAAAATGGGGCTGCGAGTCTTCACATTCAACTGACGTTACATAAAGAAGCTGCATATCCAACCATGAATTAGGTCACCGACTCTATAACGTTGAGAATTTGGAAGGACTATGCCGTGGTCTAGGCAGGTGAACACGATGCAGAAGCTCAGGTTTTTCAATCCATCGTTATTCAAACAAAGATGACGTTTGTGATATATTCATGCGATTGTCTTTAGTGCCTTACAAATTTCTTCGTCCAAGTCAAGATAGTTGTGCACACGAAAAGGCAGCAATCATTTTCTCGTATTTTATGCAGCGAACTCTACGCAACTAGAATCTGGGGAAGTTGTGAGCTGTGTTAGAAGTTGGATGGACAGCGGTTCACTTATGAAGTCCTGATAAACGGTAGCTGATGCGAGAAGGACGATGAATACGTCAGGTTGGATACATTTGTTTACATGGCAAGGATCAGATTTCGATGGCGTTTTTGTTGTTATCTTCTTTGTCCCTCCCCATCCGGCGTTTCTTTATAAGTGCACCGAGTTAAGTCTGTTATGGTCAAGTATTTTTGCGTCCACCATGGTAGGTAGGAATTCGTATGCTTCAGGCGTCAAAGCTTAATTTCCGATGCACTTGCCGCTAGCCTGATGAACTAATGAACCAAATCTGCACAGTTGACATCGGGAGCTGTACGGCCATGGAAGACAAATTAGGTGTTCGAACGACTATAACCAAGATGATGTAGAGTGCGATGAAATAGTATTTCTCCGCTTCTCACTGAAGTATTTCGCGTGGCTGATATAATGGTAGTGCAGCGCCGCATGATCACTATGGTCAAGAGGTGCATCTATAGCCATATTATGAACCTCGTTGGTGAGCAAGATGCCTAAGACAGATTGTTATGCAACTGTTCTGAATCATGTGAAAGAGGCGAAATTTATGTACGGCATTACAATTTTGATGACTTCTTCAAGTCAAAAATGAATGGTTCGCTGAGGGAAACTAAGACACCATCTGTGTGCTGGTTGAATTACCCCACCAGAAGGACGCGGCAGAATGTCTGTCGCAGTACGCACTTCAAGGCAGAAACTAGGCGGTTTCACCTTTCCGAAAAGTTGTTGAAAGTTGGTAAACTAGCACTGTTTAACACACATCACTACATCTCAGGTACATACGGCATCATACAGGGTCGACCGTTTGTGTTTCGAAAACCGTGATGATATTGATATACATGCCTTGCAGGCCTCTTCTGCTAGGTCGACCATTCCGTTAAATTAACATGACGGATATGGCCTTCTTAGGTTCATTCCTCTCAGTGTCCTACCATTCGTCTGCCACAATGAGTATGACCCAAGGCGTTGAGCTCTGTTAAGTTCCAAGTTCGGTTAGCTTTCAGAAAATGATTTGCTCCCTAGTATATGTACAGATTTTGTGTCTCCGAATTTGAAAGCTTATTTGTGGATGCGCATTTCCAGTGAGACTTTATGTTGGTCCTATTTAGTTCGGGCGCCAGTAACATTGCAGTTTGTCTTATTGACGAAGATCCCGGTGCCTTCTAACTTGGTGTGTATAGTGCGAATTGGCAGCCCGTTGCTGATAATATACCCCACATGCTCCCGTCGGTTGGTTTTGAATGCTTCTTGATTCAGATCCTTAAGCTTGTAGGATTTCAACGAAACGAGGTTTGTTCAGGGTTACTTCGTCTGTGTGTCCATGTGCCCATCATGTTTACGGTAATTTGGAAAGAAGCATTTCAGCCTCTTTGCTACATCTCGAGCCTCTTTTCTACAATGAGGCTAGATTGCAGCGGTGCTTTCATTGCTCGCAGACAACACCCCTTATAGTTTGGCGGAAACGGTGACCTCGATGCCGAATTGGTGAAACCTTATCAAATTTGGGTATTTCACGGAGGAAACGTCATTCATCCCGGTTGTGAGCTAAAGCCTACAGCTGGCTTGTATTCTGTTGATTTGTAACCCCGTGTACAAGGATCAATGTTATGTTTTGTTTGTGGTAGTTATTCAACTTTCGTTTGCTACGCCGAAGACGGCCACAGTGGATAGCTGGAAGCATGAGATTCGTGCGTTGTGTATCGAGGATCAATATCTAACAAGAGAAATGCCTTCGCAGCAGCTCTTGACCGAAACGTTAGCTAGAACATCTATGGTTCAACGTGGTTTACCGAAATCAGATGACTGACGAAGCGCATCATATCGGCAAGTTTAACGTATACCCTGTATATAATACTGCTTTTGCTCCTCAATCAGACTGCCTATGGTAAAGTTTGCTCTAGGTTCAGGCAACATGTATCAGACAAAAATTAAAGAATTATGATAGTGCCTGGTGTTCTCCATTGTTAGGGAATGAGTTGGTTATTCGTTTTAGTCGGAGAATATATGAAATTTTAGTTGCTGCGGTAGTGATGGCAGCACTAACTGCTTCTTTTTGGCAGTTTCCTATGCTACGATACACGATATCTCTTTTAAGTCGGCATCAGCGACAACCGCATGTGGTTTCAGTCATTCGACTATCTTTGACATTCCTGGAGTGTTGATCAAGCCAGCACTGAGAACGTATTATTATGACCTTGCATCGTGATCGGAGTACTGACAGCCGATGTTCGGTTTCCAAAAGCTTCACAAGTAAACTTTTATCCGGCCTGGAATTGCTCTTCTTAAGTGGGGAGTGGTGTAAGCAACTACCTCGATGCTCCACTTCATCTGAACCTGATGGAACTAGGTTATTGCAGTTTCTAACACTAGAATGTCTACCAGTTGTTCACACTTCAACAAGTACACAGCCATACTACTAACTAGCTGAATGGCAGCGCACACTATGCGGAACCGGAAGTAATCATTTGGCTGATCCAGCGCTCTATGGACGACACGCTAAAATCAGCAAAGCCTGCTACTCCAGTTGACACAATTTTACACAGCTTGCCGCATCGCAAATTACACAGTAATAGAATGCTTTTGGATTGTTTCCTTTTAGTTGGTGCTGCATGTCACAGGGATCGGCAGTTCAATCAATCTTCAGTGGGTGTCGTTTGTTGTGGATACCAGCCAAGCAGGATAATCACAAAACGTTTATGTTCACGCTAGGGCACACAGGAGTTGAGTAGAACATTTCTCTACACTTATGGATTGTAGCGAAATAAGAAAGAAGCCGAGAGGAAGCTGGATGAAGACAGGTAGTGTTGAACTATCGACCAGTTTGAAAGTTATTCTAAAGCAATGCTATGAGGATGGGTTTGTTGGTAAAGGTTTTAGTTCCGGTGGTTTGTTGCGTGTAGAACAAATGTCATCATATTGACCTGCAGCTGCGATTCGATCTATTAGTTTACTTCAAGTCAATTCGGGCGGATACAGATATGATCATGCTTTGGGATGAGCGTAAAAGTAAAAAGACTTAAAAAAATTGTGCTTGAGCGCAAAAGATCAAGCAGTACCTTTCGCCAAAAACCGTTGGACCAGTTGAACGGTTATGTAAATTGTGTGGAGTTATAATGTTAAATATATTAAATAGAGCCGGAAAATTAGAGTCGAGCAAGCGTAAGCAGAACAGCATGCCCAGCATATTACGAAGTAATTACCCGAAAGATCGAAGAACGGAAACTGTGGAAGACAACGCAAATCATAGGTAACTTTACGAAAATTGTAATAGTTCACTTCTTTTCGATACCAGTTTTGTATGATGAAAAATGTTGACTAAACGATGAAAGTTTTGACTAGACTATATCTTCCTATAAACTGGATAAATTTATTTTGGGTTAAATATGCAGCAAATAAAGTATAGTCAAATTTAGTCAATTATTCGGGGTTAGTTTATTTATTCGCAATCCGATAAACTGAGCAACATAATGAAGATTTTGTCTCAGCGCTCTGCGCCAAAGATTTCATGTATGCGACCTTTTGCAAGCGAACTGCTACCTGTAAGATAGGATGTTGTTTGAATATGTATGCACATGTATATGTATGCAGGGATAAAGAATGCAGTTAGTTACTATGTGCTTCACCTATGCAAAGAGATGTCACTCATGCGCCCGATAAGTGACGCTCAGTGTTACATGTCTCCTTAATAATACTCATATAATAAGCACCCAAATAAAACGCGTGTTTATACATATTACCCCTCCACTATCAAGCAGCTAAAACACTTAAGTCATACCAGCAAAATGGTATCTATGATATAGTTCGAACGAACAGATTTATCGAGGTGACAGGTCTGTAGGCTTGAGCTACCGTGAAGCAAAGTGGAAGGTTCACTTCATGCCTCACTAAACAACTACCATCCTTTCAAAAACTGTGATCAGGTTCTTTTTAATATTTTGTCACAAACTCAAGTAGCACTGCCCAAATGATCTACGGCCGAGCGGCGTTTCTTGTGCTTAATACGCAAGCGATTCATAGGGAAGTCCGTAAAAGGTGCATAGCTTAGATTAAATTCCTGCGATACACAAAAGACGCGCAAAAGTATTTTACACAGCAAGTTAGGTGCTGAATAGCTTAGTATTTTAATTAACTTGGTCGCAAAATCTCAGACCGAGTCTTGAATAAGCAGGAAATCAGTGGTCGTTTCATGACAGAAGTAGTAAATTAAAAACTAGACTTTTGGCTTCTAAATAGTCTTGCGCTAAAAGTTATAAGTGCAGTTAACCTTGAGTATATGCTTCAACGTATTTCTAAATAAACTCAGATCAAGTAGCTGATTCTCAGTGGTAGGATTAATATAAACAAGTTGGTTTTGCACATCTAGCGTTAGGTGAAATTATTTGGTCGCTGACTACCTAGTCGTAAATGGGATGAAAGTTAGATATTATTTCACGCAAATGCAACAATTCACTAAGAAAGCAACATTGGAGCAAGATAACTATGGTTACTTCCTTAACGATGTGGATTGTTTTGGACATGTTGCCAGTTAAAATAATTAAAAACGAACTTTAAAATCTGGCATTCCTCTGAAAACTGTCTGCAAATAGACTGGATCCATTCCGAGAGTACTTGTTAATAGCTCATGGTTTCCAACCCAGAATACACAGCAGTCGACGTTCACTAACATCATCTTGTGTGGATTGAAGCAGATAGAATCCGCAAACTAAAATTAACATTTCATGGTATTGTATCAATAAGTGGTTTTTAAATGCACACCTGTGGATTAATTAGAAAAAATAACACTGCTTTATTGCATGTCATATTTAAAAGGTAGGATATGGAACATTCGCAAACTACGGATGTTGAGGATGAATATTTTTTAAAAATATAAAGATTCCAGTAGAGCGAGAATTGAAAGTAATTCTACATGTCAAGTTGTGCGTTCCTTTTCAGCCGCTTAGAACTGGCGTTGTATGCTGGACAATATTGGGTTGCTTAGTTGTTAATGCGCATCTGTGCAATTGGCATGTTACGTATGCGTCGAATGAGTTATTTCACGATAAGCATAATAATGCTAAACGCAACAAACTCCTTAGTGATGATAAACCACTGTATTAGGATATCGGTAGTAAACCCCCTGAATTGATTTTTATAGATAAACACACCGACCTGGGAATTCAATTGTACGGCCAAACTAGTGTTTTGACAGGATGGTTAAACGTCGTTATTTCATTCAATACGCAGAGGACATCCGAAATGTTTACCATGAAAGATCAGCACTATTGGCAATCGAACTAGTTAAACTTGTCCAAGTGAAGACGAAATGTGAAAGCTCAGATAGAGAATAGGTAAATCACGGAACCAAAAGGAAGTGCAAAGGTTAAAAGCGCAAAATATGATGACGAAGAAATGGATAGAAAGCAATTTAAGGCCTTTATATTATCTTTTACTTCAAACGGAACCAAGCAAGATTGATTTGTATATAATAGTCACAGTTTCTTCTTACAGTCAATCTTTTGATACCCAGCTCACACGGCACTCTCAATGATAAAAAGGTAATATGCGACTATGAATCGCCACTTAAACCTTGCACTGAACTGTTCCAAAGTGGCCTTATTACAGCCAACTTTAGATCCATGATGTGAACCCATCACAGAATCCACGGTAAATAACAACTTAAACCAATTAACTCACCTCCCATCCTTTGGATAAGTTACGGAATTCCGGGCACAGAAGTGCACAACCTGCGTACGCGGCGTCAACATGTAACCACAAATTTTCCTTCTGACCTAGTAATTGTGAGGAAATAATGATGTGCTTTGGTCAGTGGGTCTCAATCTGGGCGCAATTATCCTCAAATTGGTAGATTGGAATTTCACGAGGAGTAAATATGGGTACGAGGATTAGCTCATCAGTCAGTCGTCAAAAAATATTAATAACAGAATCATCGGTATCAAAACATGTAACTAACTACCTAAATACCACTGTTAAGCCATCAGTAACTAATCATAGATGAGTGGTCAGTGAATTAGATAAGTTTCGGAAATAAATTGTATTACCTAATATACTAATGCAGGTCTGCAAAACAGCGCCGCTAGATAACACATCTGTAAGCTCGCTTGTCGATCTTTGTTCTTTTGCTACAAGCAGTCGTTCAGCGGGTTAATTTGAATGATCACAAAAGTGACAGCATAGGTTAGCTGAACAGGGAAACGCACAAAATTCTGGGTAAATGTTGCTGGTGAATATCAATTGTTCTCAGCAAATGCCTTGAAAATTTTGTTAACATTCGCCGCACTTATCAGTGTGGAAGTGGATTTTCAACGATGCTGACGATGAAAACAAAAGTAAGGAACATAATAAACTTGGAGCTGGCCTAAAATGTGTATTATCCAAGGCCGCACGAAAAATAACATTAATGGTTATAACTAAGCAATAGCAACTGTCTCATTAACGTACATAATCTATTGGTTTAATAAATACGGCCCAAAACAGTTATTTTCTCTGAACTACCAAAAGTGATGAAAACTAATATTCATTTTCTGTGCTTTAAAACTAAACCGCATTGGTAGATATGCAAAGCGCTTATTAAAATGCATTTTCGGCTAGTGACTGTGGGGAACCCGTAATGGGGTTACCAGGTTCGAAAAGGTTGGGAATCACTGGCTTAAGTAGATTGGAGAAAGTCCAGTTCACTGAAGTAGGTCTAAGCTCAACATATTGTAACACACGGATGTGACGCGTATGAGCTTCTCAATATGCGCTGTCGAAAATTGAGCCTGGGATAATCGGAAGTTTGATTAACTTCGCAATCTGCGCGGGACCACAAAACTATACGTCAGCAAAGAAGTTGAGCCACTCGCATGGTAAAGGTGGCCTAAGTCCTAGAGCCTTCAATGTGGACAAACATGATTTAACCGCTTTCAACCATTTCAATCCGGATGTGTACGTATACGTCCTTTCGAGACTAGACAGTACAGTAGCAAACGAGAGGCATTTTTGTTATGCCAGTTGTGCAACTCCATCCGGGTGGTTAGCTTTCATTTGTTCTAATAAAAGCGTGTGAAAACTTGACGAAAACAGTTGAGCAACATATGAGCACAAGGGATACATCTATGGAAGTAAATGTATCTGTTTGCTTCTCAACGAAAATATATAAATGCCACCATTTACGCCAAAAAGTGAACCAAACATACCAGCCTCACCTCAGAGTTTCTTTCTCCAAATGGCTCAATTCACTCCATTCCTCTTATTAAATAATAAATAAGATGTCTACCCTTGACTACGCGAAGCATGCCTGCACAGTCATGATCATGTTAAGAGTACAGAAAAAGTGAGCAGTTAATGTATAATGGAACTATAGGATTGTCACAAATGTCGATATATTAATGTTTATATATGTGTATGTAGGTGTGGGTGGTTAATGTTGCATTCTTGATGCTTCTTCACCGTAGCTGGGCTAAACCAACTTTCACTTACACTACGTTTTTTAAGCTGGAGAAGTTTGATTCCACTTTAATTGGTTTGTTCTGCCTACCTGAATAGTCTTCTATTAACTGGCCACATTGCTTGCACTAATTGCGCTTATCTTCGGTTACATTGTTGTGTTTGTATCATTTTTAAGTAACTTGTGGACATTTTTTCCTTATCGCGGATTCGCTGCTAACCAACATACTTCATATGCTAATTTAGCGAAGGGTAATGCCACCGTATCGGTACGCGTTATTGGATTTATTTAATTGCATCTTGTCTTTTCAAGTGATGGGCTGTTGCTTGATATCCCCGGTGTGGCTGCGCTTGATGTGCATGTTCACAAGGTGCCTACCTCTCTATTAACCACTATCGCGTCCATACTGGCACCAGGAGGCAGCTGGTCGCTGCTGGAGGGGACGGCGTGCACAGTCCTTGTGGCCGTGCTAGGCTCAAAGGGCGGTTCCATGTAGTCAGTGTGGAGCGGACTACGGTCCAGCCACCGCCTTGTGTGCCCTTGATTTCCCAAATACAGGGTGCTTGTGTTTGCCTGTGAAGGAGTGTGGGCCGGCTCCGTTGATGAAACGTGGCTCCCATCCGCCTGCCTCCCGGTCTTATTCCCTCGGGTTTACACTAGATATGGGGTGTGTGGATGGAGCTGTGAGTGGTGCAGCGCAAGCCATTCATGGTTCCTCTGTAGGCGCAAGCGTCCTCTGGCTGGCCACAGTGACATGCAAGTCAGAAACCGGATGCCGCTAACCATGACTGTGTATATGGTATTTATAAATGCTTTCCTGCATTTTTTATCGTGTGTGTAAATGTAGACAGCGTTAAAGGTAGGCTTGATGTCTATGGACTTGAATCGATTGTACGGATAAGCAAGGGGCAGTGACTTTAGTTAGTGGCGAGTCACTACCATCACGTCAGTGTTATTAAACGGATATCTGAAGCTATTGTAGGCAGAACGCATGTCAGGAGGGAACCCACTACGTTCTGGAACGCCGCTGCCGAAGTATTGGCTGGAACGGGGTAAACCCGAACTACCCAGCTGTGACCACGAGGAGGTTATCCAGCTTACCTGCTTCTACTCCCTCCAGGAGCGTAGTAAACAATATCTAAGTTTCTAGATTGAGACCAAAATCTGCAAGTCCACTATAAAAACAAGTGGGCATCACGCACATTCATTGCCATCAGGAACTGTTAGGAAAGACACCCGTTAGTCCACCTACCGGACTTGGCAAAACTGATGTGTCACAGCATGTTTTACTATCACTAGTGCTATGCACATCGGTTCAAGAAAACGGTACACGCTTGTGTCTAGTCATTTTCAATTCGTTGTTATTTCTCTCGAATTCCTTGTACTGAAATTGCTCCCCATATTACGCTGCGTGCGTACATTAAATTCCTGGCTGACACCATTATTATGCAGTAGTGCAGGGAAAGGAGTAGACGCTTAAACTAACGATTAACATCATCAACATCATCAACTTTGTAACGGGGATCACTTGTGACCGTTTCATGGACTATTGGAATAATGTGCTGACCGGTACCGCGACTGAACTGTCCACATCCCCTTCGTGGAAATTATCTTCTCACTTCACTCTAAGTGACATACCAATCCTCGATTAGCGTGACGAAGCTTTTGTGGCAAAAGCGAAACGTTGCCCACAAACTATACCAACCTGTTGTTTTCAAACCTTTCTGAAATCATGAGTTATCTTTCGGTTTCAAGCAATTTTCAAGATGTTGAGTGAACAATACTTAGTTAGTTAGTTAGCTTAGCTTAGTTTTCTTTAGGGTTCTTTAGTGTTTTATAGTGTTCTATCCAACCATCCTACGGGACTTGTCAAGCGCCTACTTTTACTGGTGATAAACTATTTTCGCTTTACATTGTACATTTGCACTGGCAAAACCACCGTTTTATGATCGCTTAATCAATAGCCTACTGTTTGACTACTAACATCGTAGTTAATGTGGGAAGGTCTGAGGTGAGACGGGTCCAGCAGGACCGAGTGAGTACTGGTCAGATAGTCGCAAATGCAGGACATAGTTTTATAAAAACGTGTCACTGCAGCAGTTGTGATGTCAAACTCATCTTGGTGAAAGAGCGCATTTGCTTTGGGCCATATCCAACAGTTTGCACATAAGTTAAAGTTTAGATGTTAGCTGACTCATTATTATACAAACTATATGCGCCTTCACTACATATGAGAACTCGCAGAAGGTTTATAAAGAGCGTCTTTTTAATTATTCTACCACACTCCATGATTTCAGCATTATAATCACCAAAAAATGCCCATAGGAACTTTTCGCTTCCCAAGAATATATGAGTAGCTGCTAGGAAAGAAATATAAGAAGAATTGAGAACTTGAAGTTATTCTAAACACCAGATTCCAGGATAGGTTATCGGTTTTAATGTGCCAACTAAACTAGCAAGTGATTAGCGGACGTTTCGTTACTCACAATGACGACACTAACAAACCCGAACAAACAGTGTTGCTTCGTGCAAATAATTTTGCCTGTATTTCGGCTTTAGCGACCTTAATTTCCTGCTGGACTGTCTTTTACATTATTTCGGTAGATCTGAATCGAGGGCTGGTTATAATTGTAATGGTGGGCCCAGCTCATCATCTGTCAAACAGGTTCGCCTATTCTATTGGTTTCGCAGGTTTGTTACTGGTTTAGTTGGTTGTATATGACGGTTTTCCATTCCATTTACTTAGTTCCATCTAAAGGTTGGTTTAGACTGGAGGTTTTCTCATCACCCAGTGAGCAGTTCAAAACAGACTTACATGAACTGCTCGCTGGTATTCCCTTATCCAACTATGTCACTACGCCTACTAGATTCAGGACAGCAAACAAACCATCCGTATTGGACCTTGTGCTAACGAATGATGAGCTCATAGTTGACAAGTTATTGACGGATAGTCCATTAGGTCTCAGTGACCATGTAGTAATGACGTTTCACTATGTGTGTTATGCAGAGTATCCATCTAAACACTCGGAACTAATACAACCACACACTATCACGTAGTAAAAGAACTCGCCGGCGCAGCTGCTTGGGAATTCTCAAATAAAAGTCCCATTGGTAACGTTTGGGCAGAATTCCTTAAGAGATTCAGCAACATCGTCAACAGAGATTCAGAGAACAAGCCTTTTCGTTTCGCAAAAATGTCTTCAACTCTAAGGACCAGGACTCAAAAATGCCTGGCGAAATGGGATGCAGTAAGGCGTTCTTACATGATTAACTCCGACTCAGAGACTTGGGGCTATTTCCTGACCCATCGCAACCATTGCACTGCACTTGTCTGTAAGGACAAAGTAACTTATCAACAGTGCCTAGCCAAAAATACTTAGCGAACAACAAACTGCTATATAGGCATGTCATTAAGCTTCGTAAACTGAAGCATGGAATCCCTCCACTTTTCACGACAAAGCGCCGAAGAAGCAGCTAATGATCTGCGGCTACCATACGCCCCCATTTTTGAACTCGCAACCTCTACCTGTCCCATAACCTCATACACATTACCGACCCCATTTTTTACAAACGTAATTTTCAACCCATCAATTGTGTTCAGGAAGTTACTTTCACTGCGTGAGCATAGTTCTCCGGGAGCAGACAACATCCGCTTGAAGGCACTGAAGGCTGTGGCCAACAAGCTAGCTGAACCACTGTCACAGTTCTTTCAAAGGTGCTTTGATGAGCAACAAGTCCCCACTATGTGGAAGTGTGGCATTAACACTCCTATCACTAAAGCGGTGGCCGTTCAGATCCTGCAAACTATCACGCAACGGCTCTCCTCTCTGTGCTCGCGAAAGTGATGGAAGCTGTTGTCGCTGAGGCTTTAATGGACTAGATGGGAAAATGCAACATCTTGCTACCGGAACAGCATGGCTTCCGTCAACACCGGTCATGCACCACCAACCTACTGATTGTACGAGTTAGTTGGAGGGAAGTGGTTGATGATGGAGTCGAAGTCGACGTCATCTATCTGGACTTCTCCAGAGCTTTCCTCCGCCTTGATTACCGCATCCTACGCCGACGGCTACAGAGATACGGAATTGGAGATCCTGTACTTGGTTGGATTGGCAGCTTCCTTCACCATCGGAAGCTTCAAGTACGCGTTAGGGGATCACTCTACAACCCAATTGAGGTGGAATGTGGTGTCACACAAAGCTCAGTGGTGGGACCGCGCTTATTCCTGGTGTATATCAACGACCTGGCATCAGTTATCTCCCCAATTTTCCTGCTTTTCGCCGATGACATTAAGATATGGCGGGCGATTAGTAACAAGCCAGATCACGATCTGCTCCAACCTGACCTAGATTGCATTTATGCATGGTCAAATAGGAATATGCTTCAATTGAACATAGCTAAGTACAAAGTAGTACATTTGCGTCACCAGCTAAATAGCGCTTACAGGCTTGGAGACTACACCTCGAAGAAGGTCTCTCAGGAGTGTGACCTGGGTGTATTGGTTCAGGAAGATCACGGGTGTTCAAAACAAGCAGAGAATGCGACGATAACGGCGATCAACACTTCGGCATTCTTCGCAGAGCCTTTGGTCGTTTTGAACCCTCAATCTTTCCCCAAATGCTAACCACCTACGTGCGACCTCACGTGGAATATGCTATTCAGGCGTGGTAGCCGTGGCAGAAACAGGTGTACCTTGAAATCACCCATGATAAAGATGTAAGTGTGCTTTTGTTTAAGACTACATCTTAAAACTGACACAAGTTGACATTCCATTTCCGGTGTAGTGTTTAGGGGGCGGTATACCAAAGCTATAATGCAGGTACCTCTGGCATGTGATTGCAGGCAACACCAAAGAGAATCTGCAAATTGCAAGTCTGAATCTTCAGAGGCCTCAAACTGTAGATCGCTTCCGTAATGCGGAATTATCGTAAGCCTTTCGTTGCGTATGAGTGACGTGCTCGGCAACGACACTTCAGCGTCTGTCATCCCAGTTTGCAACCATGTCTCCGTGACACCGACACTATAACATAGCTTCGAAATTTGACCATCATTCAGTTCGGCCAGCTTAGTGAAAAAAATTGAGCATTTGTATAAAGACAGCATAATTTCTGAGTCTCTAGCAGCCGACAGGGAGTCAAAGGAGTCAAGTGTGGTAGTTTGCAGACCGATTCGAGGCAGGTCAGTATTAGATTTTTGATGGGATGATGATGATACGTCGTTCGCAACTTGATTTGACCAAGCTACCTCCAACTCCTCGTCCGGGGATAGGGTGGTATCGCGTGACCGAGCAAGAAAGTGATGTTTTTGCGTAATCGCCGGTAGGATTGCTTTTTCTGGCAGGCTCATATCTGGTCTTTACAGGAATTCAGCAGCTTTTAACCGAACTGTTTAGATGAAAGTCTTTTACGATGTTCCCGCCAAAGTTCGAACACTTCCGTTGCTATCTGCTCTGACTGAACCAGGAGTTTTATAATTCTTGATGCGATTCCTTTAGAATTTGGTGAGAGAGGTAGTTTTTTGTGGAATAACCCCACAACTTGTCCAAGGAAAGTAGTTAACGAATGAACCGCCACTGTTCCAATTCGTGATTACCGGCCTCATGACTATGGTGGGAAACAAGTTCTGACACGCCATAAATAAAGATTGTGCTTGAACAGTGCAGCTTTCTGTGTCCATCCAAGAGATTTGTTTTCAAATGTCGAGTGCTCCAAAGGACGTCAGGATATATGTGTACCTTGCATGGCCCGTGTTGTAGCACACTTGCAGAGTAAAACGTTTTCTACATAAATAGCCCCGGGTTTGGCTGTCCCATTTTTGTTAACGATACAATTTATTTAGACCGACTAAAGTTGATCGATCACGCCTTTCGAGTGGTGTCTGATTTTCGGGATCCGGAGTACCGCTTGTCCATTAGAGCTGTGGTCTGTTTTCGCCTGGTATTCTTTCAAAATTGATGAAGATAACGGCATGGGGGACCCTGTCAATCAAGGAGCGAGCGAAGTAAATTTTGCACCAAAGCTTCTCTTTGAAGTCACTGTGTTATCATGGTGCCTACTCTCTGCCCGTGATATAGTCTCTGCATTCGTCCGTTGTTCAACTTCTTCTGTTAACCCCTTGTACTTTTGGACTAGGAAAAGAATGCACTTGACTGCTGGGGTAGTCGAACACACAGTACAAAACCAGTTATCGTCTTGGAGTCTACTTCGTTCTCTCACTTGTTGTTGGGTAAGGTTTTCATATTCTGTATGGTACCATCTGAAACAGTGTGAGCGAGGTAAAACCAAATGTGACTACTCGGTTACATTCAGTGGACCCACATTTACCCTTTGACTGGATCTTTTCTGGTTTCGCATCTATTTGATTTCTGCTACTTAGCATAGTGTTTCACCCACACACACAGTAGGCTAGTTGATGTTGCGTACTTTTCCTCTTACTCTAAATGCTGAGATATCGCGCGCGATTCCCGATCTGTCTTTGGATACAAAATTTTACGTCCATAAAAAAGGGATTCTAAAAACAGTTTTAATGTAACCTATTCCGTTTTGAATGGTTATAACTCCCAAATAGTTAGTTAAACTAATGAAATGGTTTGTAAATTGATCTACGACATTGCATCTTTCTCATTTTGCAACACATTCGTAAACTTAGCATTTTAAAGGGGCCCGTTTGTTAATTATAGTTTATGATGTAAATGGCTGAAAATGCACCCATTTGTGTACCTAAAGCCAATACGGACTTGTCTGGGTATCGGTAAAAAAGGAGACTACTGGAACTTGTGTATTAAGAATTTATTGACCCCTGGCTGCTAAAACTTGGACAATTTTACGTGGCTACAAAGTGATGTTGAAATATAATGCTAACGAGAGATGTTTTGAAGTCGAATGATTGTACCCCAGGTTACTCAGTTGATGTATTAACTCAAATTTTATTAGATCTTCTTTCCTGGTGATTTGATAGCAAATATTTCTTCAAGATATCGTGCAGATTTATCAATATATCACGATAGGCTACTTGATATCTCGTATGGCCGGTGTTTTAATACTATTTACAGTCTTAACCTGATTTGATAACCTGTAATACTAGAAGTAACCGACAGTATTTTATGTCAGTTCGAATGTTACCTACTTTTAGTTACTTCAAGCCATTCCAAAATAATGCAAAAATATAATGGACAAGATACTTAGCTTATTATAGCGCCGGTATCCAGGGTTTAGAGGAGCGCTGCACTCGCAGGCTTGTATCAACATAAGAACAGTAATGAGCCAGGATATATAATTTATACAGTTTTCGATGTATATATGTTTCCTACACATAAACCTCTCAGCTCGTTTCTCATTACCGAGTTTCTAAGTAAGTATGCTTTGTCTTCGTTAATTTAGAGCAGAACAGTGATGTTTCAACGGATTGACTATTAAGGTTAACAACATTTTCCTACAAGTATATGCGTATCTGTCACGTTAAAACATGAAAAGCATTTTAATTAGAACCGCTAAATGCATCAATAAACATGAACCACCACTCCAACTATTTTATCTCCAGTTACTGCTGCAACTTACAGACAAGACCGATTTCTTCCAGATTGTCGAATTCACAGCTGTTCGTCGTGCCAAAACTTGCGACACACTGGAAATGCAAGGACAAGTTATTACATGGAAAGTCCCTTACTGAAGCTAATCGACATTCTGCAATCGGCTCTAGGCATTAATTCGTCGACACATAGAAGCGTCCCGTTTATATCAAGCACAAAACCATTCTGTGCTAATAGTTTCGGCAATTAAAAATTTCATAATTGCCACACCGGCTTGCGCAGTTAAAAGAAATGTTAAAAATCTGAAGGTGCGTGCACTTTTATCAGTAAGATAGGTATACAACAGCAAGACAAATCCAAATACTTTGTTCACGATCAGCCCTTTAATGCCAGAGTCTTGGGTAAAAGTGCCACGTGACATTGTTACGGTCTATGCTTTGCACACAATACGCTGTGGTACCTTCAACGCTACATATGTATGCGTTGGCAACTAAACATTCCGATAATTCATAAAGCACATTTTACCAAAGCAAGCTACTTCTCATTCGTAGTAGTGTAAAATAGTTGGAACCGTTCGAGAATTCATGGGTTCGGAGAGTTTTGATGACAAAAGTTTGGTGCATCTGTTGGACTAGGTTTTACTGCTGACGCAAAAGCTACATCGGTTAACGTGAATGAGTATGCACTTGGTGTGTTCGCCTTAGCAACCGCCGGTGAACCAGTCAGCATCAACAAGCTGAGTAGGCTCATGCACGTTATATGTTGGCTCTTGATATTCGGACTAATCAGATGAAAATAGCTCAACCGAGCAGCGACACCTGATATTTACTAATGCTATTCACAAAAGATACAAAGGAACACTGATTTGTGCCGGGTGCAAAAGCGATTGTTTATCATCTCCCTCAGGATGGTGGGAGTAAAAATAAAATTGTCAAAAGATAGCTGAATTGTTTGGATGAGCCTTTATCTAGCAGATACGCCACTGAGTAATAGTAGTGTAAGTAGGAATTGAATGCAAACGATAAGGCAACATGGAACATTTATATCTGATATACTCTGTGAGAAAAATAAAAACGAAAATACACAATCTGGACCGCCTCCTCATGGTTATGTGACATGTTAATCCGGTTTGAAGGGAGAATTAATATATTCCAAATTAGCACAGTTTAAGCAACGAAGTGATAGGGTCAAGAGTAAAAACTAATCGTTTTTCGAAAATATCCAAGGTGGGGGTAGAAGCAATTAAGTTTTTAAGAGAGTTTCTGGTTTGGCAAACCCGAAGAGAAAAATAATTCCACCGGCAATTCAGATGGCTATATTGTGCACACAATTTCAGAGGGTTATCTCTGACACTGATGTTATGGCTAAGCTTCAGCAAGTAACGGCATACGTGAATAGGGTGAGAATATTTGGTAGACTACTATGGGTTCGCCGCGCAACCTTCGGTAGCGGCAGTGAAAACTCCCAGCGACCTCAGCCTTTAATGGTGGAACATATTTCGCAGATCCTTGACGTTCTTTGTAGCCCTGTGTAGTGGTTTCTCTAGTTATTATAACTCACGCTGGCTGTACCCACGGACGTCGCGGATTTTTGGATCAGCGTGTGCTGGGTACTACTTTTGCCTCAGATTATTGAGTTATCAGCGTTTGATCTGTGTGCATTGTATACCAAGATTCTTCCTTCGGCGTATTTTCCAATAGGTGAAAATTTAGTGACTATTCTTTTGTTACTTACGGAGATCTCATTGATTTGCTCTACTGCCACCTTTGTCCGCCATCTTGAAGTTGCTCTAGCTTGTGATGCCGTCTCAAGCTACTTGTGGTTCGTGTTCGAAAGTCGTGGGAAATAAGGCACATGCAATTCGGTGCTTCGGCTGTGAAGTTTTGTTCCATATTCCGTGCATTGGCTTATCCGTTGACGTGTTTCGAAAATCGCTCAACATCCGACATCGGTTTTTCAAGTTCTGTTTGATAAATGTCGCGGTACAAGACATCAGAATACGCAGAGACCGCAAACAACTACAGGAAAATCTCTCTTTCAGGTAGAAACAAACCGTCCACCACGTCGGATAAAACGCCCTCGTGAAAGTACCTCTGTCATCTCGTCTTCTATTGTCACTCCGCGATCTGCACCACCACCAGTGTCTTCGGCCCCGGCCGAGTCCCACGTTCCATGTTCTCCACCGATGGAAGATTCAGACTCGGAAGCTAAGAAATGCTGCTTCACTTATTGGTCCGTGGATTTCTCAGAGGCTGTCTGTGAACTTCTGAACACCGAGGATCCAGGGACCACTCAAAAGCGCAAGGGCCCACATAATCGAGTTCAGACGTCACCTGCTGATAAACAACAATCCAATCAGTTAAGCGCCTCTAGTTCTGCTCCCACGGGTTCATCACTGATTTTGTTGAGGCATCATAATCTCATGGTCTTCCACGTACCGGAGTCAAAAGATGAAAACCCTCAGATCCGTTATGATCACGATGTTGAGTTCCTCCAGGGGCTCATCGATAGACTCTTGGATGTGGGCGAAGAAAGCGTGCCGATTAAACAAGTAATCCGACTTGGCCAGAAAACTAACCAATTATGTCGACCTCTGAGAATCACCTTTGCAAATCCCAATATACGCAGCTCATACTGTCTCCTCTGTCAAGGTTGAAAGGCATAAAGTTCACATCCGCCGAGACTTGGAACCCGAAGACAGGGATCGTTTGAAGACTGCGGTCATTGAGCTCAAACGCCGTACAGAGAAAGGTGAGACTGACTTACAAATTGTAAATATTTCAGTAAACAAGAAGGGTGTACGAACCCGTATCAACCGGTTTCTCAACCACAAGGCACATCCCGCAGTACCTACCAGGACCTACGTGTGGCATTCGCCAACGTGTGCAGCCTAATGCACAAACGTGATGTAATGTGAAGCTTCGCTGTCTCGAAGCTGCCGGACGTTTTAGGACTTACAGATACTTGGCTGAACTCCGACGTCATACCCCAAGAAGTCGCGTCGTCAGGATACCCTTGTTTCCGATGCGAGCGAAAATCAAAGGCTCACGGTGGTGTTCCGTTTTACATAAAATCATCACTACTTGGCAAAGTTACCAGCACCTATCGCATCAAGGATAATTTGTGCGATTAATTGCCGTGCACACTTCGCCTTAGACGCGCAGAACTAATAATGGGTGTTATCCACCGTAGCCCTTTAAACAGTTATTGCGATTGGCTACCACATGTACGGAAGCATATGAGCCGCACTCAGTCCTTATTGATGGGGATCTAAATTTACCTAAGATATTTTGACAACACGTTCGACATCTTCCCGGTCATGGCAACGTTGGGGCTCAATTCGCTAACATTACTATTGAAATCGCGTCAAGGCAACATGTCATCCAACTGAAGCGTGTAACTCCGGACTCGACATCTTGTCCGGACCTAAGATTTACGAGCTGCAAGCAGAAGCTGATTAATATCAGAGTCCTCGAACCTCTGGCGAACAGCGACCACTGCTCCATTGTGGCAAGCTTAGGACTGTCATTACCATATTAAAATTAACGGAAGCAGACATCCAAATATTGGAGGACGGACTTCAACTGGCTCTTCCAAGTCGCAAATCAAACTGATTGGACACTACCACAGGATGGTCGCTTGAGGCCTGTTAGTCGCGAATGAAGGGGAAGCTTAACTCGCTGTGTACTTGGTTCGTTCCCCTTAAGTATTAAAAGATCGGACCTGTCAAACTGCATTGGTTTGTTACGGAATATAGACAGATATCGTGAAGGCATCTTAAAGTTTGGGATAGATATATCAGATCGGGTTGTGATGAAGATTACACGGTGCACAAGAAACAGCGTAACTTATGTAACGCCACACAGATAAAGAAACGCCAGTAGTTCGTAGAGGAGCTAGCATCCTCGGCCAAAACTGCACCCAAAAGAATATCTGCCTACTTCAATCGTCATCTGAAACCTGGGGGCGACCTACCGGTCTTAGAGAGCATGGATGGACAGACGCTCATTTCAAGCGCGGAGCGCGCGGAAGCCTTTGATACGCACTTCCTAACCGTATTTACCATTAAACCGGCGGCTGTTCATGTACCGGCGCATGTTGCGCCATTCTTGCTCGACAGCCTACAATGTGATGCAGTCGAAGTGTGTCAGCTACTCGTCAACCTCGATGGTGCAAAGCCCCCCGGACCAGACGGAATTCGCTCACCAATACTCAAGTCCCCCATCGATTATCATCTCACCAGCCGTAAAAAATATTTCAGTACATCGCTCTCTGAAGGATGTGTCCCGAACGACTAAAAATGCTCGATAGTGTGACGGTTTCCCAAGGGTGGTGACCCGAGTAAACTAGAGAACTATAGACCGATCTGTTTGACTTCGGTATTATCCAAAGTGCTCGAGAAGGTAGTGAAAAATTGTCTGCTATCGTTCATTGAATGGATGGACGTACTGACGCCAGCGCAACACGGCTTTACGAAAGGGCGATCCTGCATCGTCAACCTTATGTACGCAAACCACCAGTGGGTTCGAGCTCTCAACAAACTGAAGGATGTTGACGTGGAGTACATCGACTTTAGTAAGGCGTTTGACAGAGTGAACCACGAGGTACTCCTTGGTAAACTGAGGACATACGGAATCGGTGGCACGTTACTTCAGTGATTACACAAGTTTATTTTTGGACGAAATTTTAGAGTACAGGTCACTGACTACCTGACAGACTGCTTTACATCGACTGGTGGCGTGCCTCGAGTAACTGTACTTGGACCAGTAATAATTCTTATTCATATCAGCGATCGTCCACAGCAGCTCCAGTCAACATGTGCCCTGTTTGCAGATGATTTGAAAATCTAGAAGTTCACTGGGAACCACGACGACTGCGCTCGCCTCCAGCATGACTTAGAGCGACTATCAACGTTGTCCACTCAACGTAAGCAAGTCGGAATTCATCAGTATCACCAGACGTGCAACCACTTGATCATACACATTGGACGGCCAGTTGCTCCACCATAACACATCTGTCAGAGACTTAGGAGTGCTCTCGCGACATTATATGAGATCACTAGAAAATACAGAGAAATTGCACCGTGCGGGACTTC